GCTCACAGCAACCTCAAACTCTTGGGCTTAAGCAATTCTCTTGCCTCAGCCTCCCAAGTAGCTGGGATTACAGGTGCCTGCCACAACACCTGGCTATTTTTGTTGCAGTTGTCATTGTTTAGCTGGCCTGGGCCGGGTTCGAACCCACCACCCTTGGTGTATGTGGCTGGTACTGTAACCACTGTGCTATGGGCGCCATACCTGCTTAGTTTCTTAAAGGCCAGCCATCTCTGGATGCCTATGTTCCCTGAACAGTGCATTCTTACTTGGTTATATTGTATTTGTGACTTGCAGAGAAAATGGCAAAGTGGTGTTTTGAGCAGCATTGAAGAACGGACCTGGAATGGCTCTTACATTCTGGTGACTTGGCTTCCTGAAGGGAGTTTTCATAGTTCTATAATTATGTAGGACTTTCAGTGAGAAAGGATGGGACATCTAGGAGGCTTGATAGTATTACATCCCAGATGGTTGAATACCATGATCTGGAAACTTAGGATCCATAGTTATTAAGCATTCCACCTCCTAATAAGGTACTGGCATGCCTTGGTCAGAAGACAGCCTTTGAGCTTATTGTAAACCATCTTTTGTATAATATTTATGGGCCAGCATATTCATTTTGCCACATCCCAAACTTAGTTCCCCAAAGGACTATTTTGGATCTATAACAAATTCTCTTCTGATTACTCAATGTATTTTAGAATAGGCCTGAGTATTCTGAGCAGCATGTGGGCGATACTAGTAGGATTTTGTTTATTTTTGATTAGAGATTATGGTAGGCAGACTGATGCAGGCTTAAATATGGTCATGATGACTTTAGAATAGGCCTGAGTATTCTGACTACTTGCATAACAGACCTGTGGTGAGCACGCCAGGGCTTATCTGATGACATTGCCTGGTGTCAGAGACCCTGATTCCTCCTCTCTCATTGTTCTGCCATTCTTTCTATTGCTTCTGCTGTTATTATTATTATCATTATATTTAGAGACAGGGCCTCCCTGTCTGGTACAGGCTGGAGTGCAGTGGCACAATCATAGCTCATTGCAGCCTCCAACTCTTGGGCTCCATTGATCCTCATACCTCAGCTCCGAAGTAGCTGGGACTACAGGCACATGCTTGGCTAATTTTTTTTTTTTTGCTTTTTGTAGAGACAGGCTCTTGCTATGTTGCCAGGCTGGTCTCAAACTCCTGGCCTCTAGTGATCCTCCCACCTTGACCTCCCAAAGCCCTGGGATTACGGGCATGAAGCATGTACCTTGCCTGATCTGCCATTCTTAATATATGGAATATATGGCTTCAGTCT